ACATTAAAATAGGGTTAACATTCTGTGAACATGAAAACGTTGCTGCTCGTACTTCTGATGCCATTAAGAAGCAATAACCTGCTAAAGCTTTCTGCTATTTTGAACTCATTGTATTAGTTCACTTGGTTTAATCCTCCATCCCCAAACAAAGCCTCTTGAGTATTTATTCCAGGAGTTGGTGGATTAAACCAAGGTTAAAGTCCCTCTGAATATTTACTGGAATTTCACTGGACTCGTGGAAAGTAAAGTGACTCAAATCGCATATGTTGTCCTCCACTGGAGGTTTGGAGGACACCTTCACCATGAGAACCGGAAAAGCTAACCGTACCTCACGGCTCTGCTGCTTTGAGTTTCTGCCCTCTAGTGGTAAAAAATACTCAACGCAACTTTTAAAATCGTAAGAGTAGCAAAAGCATTTTGGTTCTAGGTCCTCATCTGCATGGATAAGTATTGTAAACATTTATATATTTTTTAAAAATGAAAAAAAGTTTATGAATGTACTGCATTCGGTACCAACTACCTAAAAACTCGAACAAACCAAATAATATTTGATGCACAAGATAGAGAATGTCAGATGAGGTCAAATACAGTACTTGACCAAATCTCCAAACATGGGCTGCGTTTCGGGCAAAGCAAACTTATGGGTGGTAACTCGTGAAATTTTCATGTTCAGCCCATATTCTACCTTGCATCAAAATGCTGTTGGAAAAAAGACACATCTTTTAATGTCTGTTTAAAGAAGTGCAGGAGCAGATAGCTCAGTGGAATTTTCAAGTACTGTTTCCTTGTTCTTGCTCAAACAGCAGCATAGCGAGCTGCGAGCGAGAGCCGAGACCCTCCAAGTTACTCTGAACACATCTGTGATAGATGTCCTCGCTGAGTCTCGGGTTGCAAGTCTGGTAGCGGTACTGCTGGTGCAATGCTGGCTCTACTGCCCTGAATACGTGCAGACCCGAATACTTCACGAACATGTCATATATGTCCGTTGTCTCTAGAATCTCCTCATTCTCCTGAACGTCAGACACCATTCGTGTGCGCGTTGACATGTAGTCCGAGTTGTAAAAACAGGATTCTTCAAATGACAGGAGGTCAAAGTGGCCCGCGTCCTTGATCAGATCAACTGTGGCCGGATGCGGTTGGTTGTGATAGGCCACATCAGGATTGTAGTCCTGGAAATGGATGGGGAAGAACACCTGCCAGTTGTTTATGGAATTCATGCGGCAGCGGTTCAGAAATTCAGTATTGATATTTGTGTTGACGCCAGCCAAGAAGAACAGCGTGTCAACTGGATGCTTCTTCGAGATGATGTCCATGAACTTGATCTGGGATGGAGTTTCTGTCTTGACACTTATCCATGGTATTTTCACTGTGGGATATTTGCGTTCATAAGTATTAATCTGAGTCTTTACACTAGCAAATATATCATTCTGATTCACCTGTTGCGCCTCCACTGGGTCATAAATAAATAAGAATGTTAGGATAGCATTTTCACTTGTCTCAAAGGCATTTGAGGCAAAGACTTCGAGGAAGTGCTCGACAAAGCCCCGGTCCTTCAGGGTAAGAGGTATTATGATGTGAACCCTTGTGGCTTCAGTGACATAGGGCATGGGAATTATCTCTATTTGGCTCAAAGGTCGCACCAGATGAACCCTCTTAGTGATAGAACGACTGTGACCTTTCTGGTTTACAACCTCCAGCTGAAGGTCCAGGGTGTACTCCATGCCCCGGATAGGGTCAAAACGCCTGTAGCCATTAATTAGCTGCTGCTTCTTCAGGTGTAAAACAGGCTTGTACTTCTTGTTCAGCTCGCCTACGGCCGTGTCGATGACATCAGCCACATCCATGCGGTCAATGCCACGCAGCTCACACTTGGGAGAGCCATCAATGCACAAATATATCTCCTCCTCTGTAAAGTACTCCCACTTCAACACTTCAAACCGGGATTTGGGCTCAAAAGGTGGATTGACCCCCACTGGCCACTGGGAGCTTCGGTTGCCATCAAAAGCAACGACACTCACATTCTTTATTTCTGCCTGTGGCAAAACAAAAAGTGTTCAGATATTTACAGTTAACAACCTGTTATTCACAAAAATAATACAACGCTAAAATCTGGAGCTACAATAGTGAAGGCCAAGAAGAAAACAGAGGTCAGGGGTTTATTTTTGACTGAACCACAGGTGTGACTCTTGAATATCAGCTTACCTGCAGTTTAGCAATCTCATCATAAGTCTTCTGCAGTTCAATCTCAGTAAAGTATCGATGCAGCCGGTACATCTGTTCAGGGTCAGAAACTGGATGGACAGTCAGAGCATTCTTGAAATGTTCGTTCTGCTCTTTGCTTGGATCAGAGTTTTTTCCCAACTCGTAGTGGTGGTACTGACGCCCCTGAGAAGAAACAGAGAGATCCATTCATGAGCTGTCATGAAAAAGAAGATGCCCTTGGTTATTTCAAGCTTAGTTGTTGTACTGCCTGTGTGACTTCCATTCAAATAGATATTACATGTGATCCTGGCAGCATCTGGCTCATTTCCACTGCAAACAGGCTGGTTTCAACCATAATTACAAAGTGAAGACAGGACTGAGATTCATTTTTTGAGAACAGAACACTATTGTTATAGGAGTACAGATTTTTGGGTACTTTTCAGAAACTTTAGAAGGGCTTTATTTTAATTAATTCTACCACAGGGTATATTTGTAAACTTACCACTGTGGCCTCAGGTTAAAAAGGCAGCAGTTAAGAATCTAGAGGTGAAGCCTACAAACTGGCTGACACTGGTGGAACAATCCCACTTAAAGACTTGGTTATTTAAACTGAAAACAGAGTAACCACCTAAGGAGCTTGAGTGATTAAAAAAGTGGATCCAATCTGATCAAGCTATTAAAAGAACAAGGAACGGAGACGCTGCTTAACTGAGCAATGAGGCCACTCTTGTGAATGTTTGCCCACAGCTTACAGCCTGTCATGGTGCACTTGGTGTAGCATTGTCTGTGCCTAATTGTCATCAATGTTCTCTCTGAACAGAAACATTGATGACTGGCTCTGTGTTCAGTCTCTTTCACTCCTGCCAGGCCTTTTAACTTTGCCCTTGCTTATCTGAGGGGCTCTTCTGGCTCAGGGAGGTTAACTTAACCATTCAAGTCACTCTCAACTGTGAAACAAGATGGTTTCCTGGGAGAGAAAATGGAGGCAAAAGGCTTCATAACACCAATGAAATAAATATCGAGACCTGTGTTTATAATGTGTCATGAGTATAGTTACATTTTGTGGCAGTTTTCTGCAACGATGCATTTTAACGTGTTGAAACAGACGACAAACTCTAGCACGGAGGAGTGAAAACTGCTGAATGCAGCAAACAACCACCTCAAAAGGGCACTGGGGCAGATCAAGGTGCTACTGAGCTTGTTTGACCTTAAATGCTAATGACATTACAGGAGCACAACATGTTGACCCACAGGGGATTTTCACACCATTGAACCTAAGGAAGACTGAACTCAGCTGTGCTCTGCTTCGCCTGTTTACTCGCTGCTGGGATCAATGGAAGAGAGAAAAAAGAAAGGCTAAAGGGTATTAGCCATCCACTCTGTTATATAAATACCACCTCTGTGCTAACATGGTAATTAGAGTTTTATATAGCCTGTCTGTCAGTTTTAAGTGCAGTCCCAGAGGCATAGCATGATTTCTGCCTTGACAGTTTAGTTTCTGTTCAACCTGTGCAGTAATGTGTCACACAGCTGTTCTGAATGACAGTGTTAGAGCACTTTTTCTTTGTAGCTGCTCATAATTCTAACTATGAAAAAGTTAATTTTCTTCGGTTTACAAATTAAATGTTACAAAGCAGAGAAACAGCTTTATAAAATTAAAAAAAGTTGTATTAACTAGAAATTACACACACTCATAGAAATCAGTCACTAAAAAATGTCAGATTTTTTTGGTGATAATAATCCCCCTGCTCTCTGATATCGGATCTGCACCACAATTTTACCCATACCACATCCTCCCACCAAGTTTCATGGTAATCTCTCTAGTAGTTTGAGTAATCTTGCTAACAAACAAACACACAGGGGTAAAAACATGACCTCCTGGGCTGAGGCAATGAAAACATACAATCTGTACTTGTGGTGAGGATTACATTCAGCCTACCTCATATTCACTGACACAGTTTGTGTTGGTGTAATCAATGATGCATCTCCCGAGCCACTCATCAGGCCTGGCGCTTAGGATATCATTCCTACAGTTTTCCAGGAAGGGCTGGAGTCGCAGGAGCAAGGTACGCGACAGGAGGTAACCAAACCCCCCATAGCAATACTTCCCTTCCATCTCCCCACCGATGAACTCCTCAGGACTGCCCATGTAAAGCTCCCTTTCCATGCTCAGGTGATCAACCAGGGTTTTGATCCTGTCAGCCTCTGTGTAGGTGTCATCTTGGACGAAGTAAAACCAGTCGTATTCATTGATGTAATGGTCGAAAATATATCTGATGGTCTGAAACATGTTCCAGATCAGTCTCTCATCTCCGTGGGAAACCACAAACATGCCGTGGGGAACTTTGCGGTTCCGCATGCCGGTGAAGAAGATGACAGAATCCAGGTGATGGCTGATGGTGCGATTGACAGCTACGCCCATGGTGTTGATGGTGTTTTTGGATGTCAGGACCCCGACAAAAAGACGCTCACGCATCCCCAACTCTGTGCTTATGTACCTCGCCCTGAAAGAAACAAACAGCTACTGAATAAAACAGACTTCCACAAACACGTCTGTGAAGCCTCTGTCAGCCAGGTCATGGTATCTTCATCCAGGAGGCTTCTTCAGTTCTGAACTTCAGAACTGAAGAAACCTCTTGGATGAGTGGTTAAAGGTCTTCAAGCAACAATGTTCCACATCACTGTTACGTTAATCAACCTTAATTTGACCATTTTGTCTCTGTAACTTGCAGATTAAGTTAATTTTCTTAAATTAAATGGGTATAATAATTAGGACTGAAATCCCTTGATTTTTAAAGGAGAAAGGCTCCAGGGAAGTTGATGTTTTTAAATTTCCTCATAGAAACATAGACAGACAGTCAGCAGAACTTCTCTAAGAGGAAAAGAGTTTCTCAGAAATGTTGTGAAATGCAACCACTCTGGTTGTGTGGGCTAACATTCAAACAAGGGCTCTATCCAGGACTCCTGAGGCGTGTTTGCCTGTTTACAAAGAAAAAGCTGAGTCAGGTTTCCTTCAGTTGGAAGATGAGGGGTAAGATTCAATTCAATTCAATCCAATTTTATTTGTATAGCACCAAATCATAATATACATCATCTCAAGGCCCTTTACATAGAAGGTCAGGACCTTAAAATCAAAATATAGAGATAAGATATGTACTTGATATTACCTCTTTGGCAGCGAATGTTAGCTGGTAGAAAGACTTGCATTTGATGGAGGCCAATGACATCATACAAAGGCAAAGTAAGTTAGATAAGTTAAATATTATGTTGTATTATACTTTATTGTGTCATTTAACTAGTTTTATTTACTTTATTTATCATGTGATACTATTTTTAGTTATTCTTTTCATTTAGATTTCAGTTTGATCATTTGTTGTTTAGTAATAGTCATCCAGTTTAAAATGTTTGTGATGTATCAGTTGTGTTATACTTATTTATTCATGTCATTTAGTTCTGTTTTCCTCTATTTATCATGTGATAATATTTGTTATTCTTGTCATTAAATTTTGAATGTTATAAAGTTAGTTTAATGTGTGTCATAGCTTCCATTATGATGTTGTAATGTGCTTGGTTATAACTGTCATGTAGTTGGAACTGATGATCGTTATGTGTAGAGTCATAACTTGACATGACTACCAGGGTCACCTGTACACCCAGTGACATGAGGACTCACACACTGATGCATCATCATCCTGGGTTACACTGCGGCCTGCTGCACTGTAACATGTCACACACAGTGTATATGTGTATAGTCATGTATATACGGTGTGCATTGTGACCAGTGGACACTGACCTGAAGACTTTCTTGGGGGAGCTCTGCTGGACTTGTTTATAGGGGACTATCCTCGGTTCATACTGCTCCTCGGACTCCACATCGTTCAGGCTGGAGATGGAGTTGGGTTTCCTGGCTCCTTTGAGTTGTCCGTCCAGAGCCACGGTCACGTCCTCTCCCTCCGTCCCGTCCACACGACACGCTTCCTCCGTCCAGTTCACACTCAGCAGACTCAACGTGAACCCCAGAGAAATACCGACGATCACCGGGCCGACCGACCGCAGCACCGACATCAACGCCGAAAACCTCATCTTGTGCGTTGGGCTCCTGTCTCCGCCAGCCCCGGGTAGCCTCCGAAACAGCCCGAAGAACAAGCCTCTGGTCCCGGACAGGTCAACCACACATGGAGTGTGAGGCTGAGCAGTGTCTCCGCTGTCCTCTTGAGGAAATAGATGCAGCTTCTTCCGTAAAACTTACGCAGGATTGTTACGTGTCAGTGCCGCGGCTCCAGGGCTCCTCCCCCCGCAGGACGCTGGCGGATCCAGGAAGTGTGGATGGAAGCAGGCGGCGCAGGGCGGAGGGATATTCAGCGATACTTTACACGGGGAAATGTGAACAGGAACGTAACCAAAATCCCTGTGTCCTTCCGACGCCCCTGTGCATTTACACTGTCAGAGCTAGACTCTGTATTTCTGCAAGCACAGTTGAAACATCTCTGTGGTAGTTTATTTTTTACAGATTAACACAAAAACAACATGGACAACAGTCATTAAACCATTAAATATGTTGTAATGTAATAAGATAGGAAAAGATAATCCTTTATTAGTCCCAGTAAACACAGAGGTTTAACCCTCATAGGTGTTTTTTTCTGCATCAAGCACTTTGAGTACACTTTTCTCTATTCTTTTACAACAGGCTCGTGTCACTTGTATTTAAGTAAAGGATGTACCTACTTTCTCCACCACTGGAGAAAAGAATGCACCTTAATGTTGATAATGTGGATCGTCAGAAGCACCACACCGCAGCAGACCCTCTCACCCAATACTGTCCTCACCCTGTGTTATGACACCTCACTGACTGCTGGACACTGATGCTGGAAAACGAATATTATGATGATGCACTGTTCAACTCAATCCTCTGCAGTTAACACCAATTATTGTTGTATTTTTACAATTCCAGATTGCTACCTACCTTAATACAGTTTTTTAATTTGTTTCCATTCTCATTGTATATTTCTGTGCTTGCAGTGTGCAACATTTGCAACATACACTACTTCACCTTTAAGTCTGAATAATATATTCTAATAATGACTTTGCATTTTTTTCTTCCTCTTTCTCAAAATTGTCACGTTATGGAACTGTCATTGATATTTGTTCTTTGTTCTTCATAACTTTGTAAGGGCAGGTATATGTTTAGTTAGGATAAGATTTAATTAATCACGAAATAAATGTTTATGCCAAAGATGCTCAATAGACATATAGTAGTTTATACCTTCTATACTTGCATAAATAAGATGACAATAGAAATATACAATATGTAGAAGAGAGGTGCAAATAGTTGTATGTAATATCAGTTTCCCAGAGAGTTTCGCTGTCACTCTCTGCAGCTGCTCCATGTGCATTTTAGTGATGATCAACTTTCAGCCCATCCATCACACTGTTCCCTATCTGCCTTGATGTTATTCACCCAGGTGTCAGGAGCACTGTGCTTTATGGTCTTCTCAGTCAATGCTTCAAACAGAACTTTCTGAGTCCTTTAAAAAAAAAAACCCTGCCTCTGATCTCACGCAGTTCACTAAGACCCCCATCATCCCCCCTGCCTGAGCCCCTGATCCACACACACGGAGCAACATCAACAGCAGAATACAAGAGAACCCCTCATTACGCATTTACAGATCTTAACACTGGTGCATCTGCACAATTGGCACGTTTTAATACTCTCCATTCAGCCGGATTCATTAACTGAAGTATTTGTGATTGGCAGTTTAAAAAAGATGAAAGGGGATGAATCAATACAGCCTTTGTGCTGGTGAGATGGTGCAATGTATAACAAGTTGGTGAGGTACTTTCTTTGTATGCATTACATGGAGTCACAGCTTTCTATGTATGGTGTCTGAACATGAGTTAATAGACAAAAACCAACTCAAATGCACTCACATTTCTAAATGTGAAGGGGAGTATGTGACTATAATGAGCCTAATTTAATGAATAATTTTTTCTTGCATAATGTCATCACCTTTATGCCCTTTTTACACTAGAATGGAAATATTTAAACAAGAAAATTCCCTTTTTAGGACACTATGACTGTCATTTACACTTAATTTCACTTTTCTATTTATTCAGCCAGTAAGTAAACATTCGTTCTCCTGTGCCCTCTAGTGGTGATCAAAACACCCCCCTATATTTCGTTTTTTCTCTTGTTTTTATATTTCATTTATGTTATCTTTGTGTGAGTATGTGCATGTTAGGTTAATATAAAGCTTTATTCAGCCTGAAGGGAATGTTTAGGCTTGGTAAACATACCATAGTGCTTACAAATTCATGTTTGTATACAAATATAAACATTCTACTCATAATTTATGTATTTACTGTATTGAACCCGGTTCATATTCCACGATCTTCAAGTCAGAAAACATATTCAACTTCCCAAGACAGATATGTCCTTTATTCAAAAAAAAGTCGAAAAGAAGTTGATTCAGTTATTTATTCTGGTAGGAAGTAAGTCAGTGTCCCTGTCTCCCACGTTTATCGCGAACCCGTGAAAGCAGCAGTGTAGGTGTCCTTCCAGCTGCCTGAACAGAAACAGAAATTGTCAGCAGCAGCGCCACGTCAATCCTTCGATGTGTGGACTTGTGTCACATGCTGAGTGGTGTTGAACCGTATATACAGTCTGTGTGTTGAACCTTCACTCTGTGCACGTCTTCATGCAGTAGCTGCCCCCGCCTCCTTCCCGGGTGTTTTCAGACGCAGTCATCGCAGCCCGCCGTCATGGAGTGTCGTGTGTTGTCCATCCAGAGCCACGTTGTCAGGGGATACGTCGGGAACAAGTCGGCATCCTTTCCTCTGCAGGTAAGAGCTGGAAACTGCTGCTGGAGGGAACTCAGTCTGTGACCCTGAGGAGAAGAACCTCACGGGAAACACTGAAGGGTGGAAACCCACTTCCTGGTTTGAAAGCGAAACCTTGAGTTGAATTGAATATAACGGTTTATTAAGCAGCCTTTCCCCGCTGCTGAAACATCACAGGCCATTTTCTAATGTTTGCTTTCAATCACTACTCCTGCTCGTTTTATGGCCGTACAATAGCTCACATATCAGCTAATGTGGCTTTTAAAACAGAGGGAAATTACCTTTTCAGAATCAGAATCAGAAAATCTTTTATTGCCAAGTAAGTTTACACATACATGGAATTTGTTTTGGTGTAGTTGGTGCATGTCAGACATTTCTAAATATAAGAAGATAAGAAAATCAAGTATTGAAGTTGAACAATATAAATATATGCACAGTATGTTTTTGAAGGTAAAAAGTGAGCATGCTCAACATATGGTTTACAGTGAGGTTTTCTTTTACTATTTCTACTACTTTTTAACTGGGGGAACTACAGGTAATATAACTCACTCTCAAATACATGAATCTATGAGTCCAGGCAGATGATAATAGCGTCAAAATGTGGGGAATGTCTTCTTGTTTGTTACTTGTTTGTTGGTCACTGTTGTTGCCCATGTGCATTCCTTTATGGCCACAGTTTATCATCTTCTAGTGGAGACTTCCAGCTAAATGATATTCAAAATGAGTCTCAAACTGATTTCATGAACATCAGTGAGTTCAGTGAATTTCAGTGACCTTCCTCAGTCACCCGATCTGAGTTCAGTAGAACACGTCTGGGGTGTGGCAACAAGAGATTCTCAGCATGACTGTGCAGCAGCCAAATCTGCAGGAAATGTGTTGATGCATTCACTTCAAGATGGAGCAGAACATGTGATACAAGTTTGCAACAACTCGTGGAACCTGTGTCACAAAGAACTGTTTAACTGAACTGTTATTTATGTGAAATGAGCTAAAACGGGGGTTCCCAAACTTTTCAGGCCCTAACCCACACAGTAACAGTGCCAGAGACCTGAGACCCCATTATCCCAAAGTATACTGACTTGAAAAACAGTCAACTTCATGTTGTTTCCTGTGTTTGTAAAGTGACCTTAATTTGTCATATTCACCATAGAGGTCATGTGGGGATAAAGAGAATCAGAAGGCCAACAACATATTTTCTTTTTTGCATAGTTTTACTTATTAAATCCTGTCTTTCATACAGTTATGGCAAAATGTTATTTCTAAATTGTATTTGTAATTTTGCAACCTCTTATCTATGTTAAAAAACAGAAATTCTTTTTAAAATGAAAAATGGGAAAAAGAAACTGAAAGTGGATACAAATAACTCTCAGTAATTCCCCAAGCTGTTCCAGCAATAATGAAACTCAGACTCTTCTCTGTTTAACCGTTTAACTGCTTTATTTTTTTCTTTTGTCAGGTGCTGGGCTTCGAAGTGGACTCTATCAATTCCGTCCAGTTCTCCAATCACACAGGTTGGATGAGTGATTTTAAATCCCCCCAGTTTGTGAGAAAATCTGAGTCAAATTATATTCGCAAAAGAGATTAAACATTTGCCACCTCCCCTGAAAGTCTGGTTACATCAACCACTGCGTTACTTTCACGCAGCATGCACGGCAGATTCTCGGCAGAGTCTCGGCAGTTGGTTGTGATGCACTGTAAATGACAGGAACACACCAAACAGTAAAAGCAGTGTAAAAATACTATAAACTAGTAAAACCAGTGCAGGTCTGGAAATCTTTGTCATCCTTGACAATGATCAGAATTAGATACAATGTTAGAAGCAATGGTATTTAGGAGTTACACAACTTGTAGGAGTCGGAAACAATGAAGACATATAAACCCTTTTGATCACAGGAAGACTTCACTGTGAACCTTTTTACTGAGGCCACTTAGGAGTCGGGGCAAAGTTGCAATGTGCAGAGTTAATCACTGTCAGTGTACTTTGCCTTGTCTGTGAAAACCTTTTGATCAGACTTGGTGAAAAACAGCCACATCAGTGTTTAAGATAAGGTTTGATTCAGAAAGTTAAACCTTCTCTTCACTGTTTACAAAACGACAGAATCCAGACAGAGCAGGTCCATTTAAGCATGTTGAGTAATATAGATGCAGTTTGGATAGTTGTAACAGTTAAAGGACAGCTGGTGCAAAGTTCAACACTTGAGCTGTCAAAATTTGCACTGTAAATGCAGTAAAATCTTTACAATGCAGATTTTTTAAATACACCATTATCCAATTGTACACTATGTAGATTATCATACAGTAAACTGAATTGGGTTTATATGCGTGATGGTCTGGATTTTAAAACCTCTTGCATTACTTCTCAGTCACTTGTTCATCAAGTAAAGAAGTTTTGTGAAGGCGGAAGTCGTTTCTGTCGATCATATGTCCATGTTGATGAAAGACGGAGATCTTTACCTCCTGCCTGTTAGTTTATCGATGGTGATCATCCCACAGATATACAGTGTTACAGTATTTCAAGTCGTTGGACAGTATAAATGTCCATTTAGGAAAAAAAACACATGAAACTTTATTTCTCAGGATTATTTTCTGAGGCTTATGTGCCAAAGTATGTGAAGAATGTGCTTTCACCACAGGTGCAGGACACATAAGAGCACATGATTTAAACATCTGCTCCTCTGACTGCTCAGTGTTGAGCAATTAGAAAAAATGTCCAGGCTGCAGTCCTACTTTGAGTTCATTCTAGTTTGAGTAAACAACATTAATATTCATAAAGTTTAACTTTCAGTGGAGGCGTTAATGTGCGCATTCCTCTCTTAATACAACACATGCCTCTACTTGTGAGCTGTGAGTTTGCTGTATTTTATGTTTCCTCTGCAGTAGGAGCTGCTTTTCAGGGTCTGTTCTAGGTTAAGGTTGAGACGGAGACAAAGACAGGGGAAGCTAGCAACCAGGACACAAGCACCCCATTGAGTTGGTGTGGAGTCCCCTTTTGGCTCTGGACAGTACACAGAGAGGGACCTCAGCAGAGGGAGAGTGGGGGATGGGAAGACAGAGCAAAGAGGGGAATGTTTTCTTAGATTTCTTAAATTTCATCACAGCTGGGATGATACAGCGAAGCTGTGTTTTTATTAGGTTAAGTAATACAAAAGGTTTTGTGTCATGGTTTCCCACTGACCCTCAAAAATCAGAAAACATCTTGAGTTTTGAGTTCAATGTCTTTGACCTGTGAAAAAGTTTGAATCCTTAAATCTACATTAGTAAATTTCCTGTATCTCCTGAATGGCAGGCTACTCCCACTGGAAGGGACAAGTCCTGACAGCAGAGGAGCTTAAAGTGCTGTATGAAGGCATCAAGCTCAACGAGGTGAACCACTATGACTACATCCTCACAGGTGAGTCAACACATGATGACATCGATCCTGAGCAGCTGCATGTTATATGGTGAAGAGAAACTAAACTCCTCTAACAGCAGCCTGACTTACAGGAAGTCAATGCAGCGACAATGTTGCACAACATGTCGAACAACCTCCACAAAGAGGGTTGTGTTTACACCCCTGTCCGTTTGTTTGTTTGTTGGTTGATTTGTTTTTAAGCAAGATTTTACAAAAAAACTACTTGACGGATTACCACAAAACTTTCTCACAGAATGATTAATTGATCTTGATTTAAAAAAAAAAAAGATGTTTGGGGACAGATGTTTAAGGGACTTAGTGAAGATCATGTATGTAGATGCAAATAAAAATCTTGATCTAGTGAATTTAAATGTTTTATTAGACTATTGAGCCTGGGTGGAGGTATTGAGTGCTTAGTTTTTGATGTGTTGACACCTGATCATGTATTAAGAGACTAAAAACAACCAAACTGAATATTCTCTTCTATGGTCTGAAATTATACTTAAATTTAGTCATCAAAAAATTAAAAATCAGACAAAAAATAAAATTTGCATCACTTGCACTGCAGCTTATTAGAGGTCTGGATACATGAGTTGACATTGGAATATGTTTTAGACAGAGATCCTTTCTGTCTTTACTTTTCTGATTTTAACTTAATTTTTGTTTCGCTTTCTTACTCAAGGTTACAGCAGGGACACGTCCTTCCTGGGAATGGTGGTTGATATTATTCAGGAGCTGAAGAAAGCCAATCCAAGCCTGGTATATGGTAAGTGTGAAATTGAGTTTTTCAAATTAAAATGAAAGATGTTTCTTTTCTAAAAAACATTTTCTGATTGATGTAGTTCCAAATCTGAATTTGAGTTTTATTCTCCACAGTTTGTGATCCTGTTATGGGCGACCAAGGTGCTATGGTAAACAGGGAACTCCCCTTAATTTTTCTACCACATCATCGATAACACTCTGATCTGTGTGTTCTTTTGAGGCACACATTTCAAAAACACTTTATTCAGGCTTTAAAGCTATTTTCCAGGATTCAGAATAATTTGTGGTAATGCAGTTTTTTCTCTAACAGAGGTTAAAAACATTTTTTCCAGTATGTTCCAGAGGCCCTGTTGCCAGTCTACAAAGACAAAGTAGTGCCTTTGGCTGACATACTCACCCCCAACCAGTTTGAAGCAGAGTGAGTGCACCTTTTAACATCATCACTGAAGAAAGTACAGAACTAACAGTGCAATCTAGCCTTTTCATTAAATCCTGAAAGCTCAGCCTGTAAAAGCGAATAATGGTGCTAATCTGGCAGTTCTGTTATTTTTGTATTTTTGCATCTGAATACTATTTGTTTTTCCACAGGCTATTAACTGGGAGGAAAATTAACACAGAGGAAGACGCTCTTGAGGTAAATATCATGAGCATCTCCAGTTTTTCTGCATTTGGATTGAATTTGCGTCACCAAAAGCAAAATATTTGAGAAAATGAGATCCAGTATATTTTCCAGGTGATGGAGCTTCTTCATAAAATGGGACCAGATACTGTGGTCCTCACCAGTACAGAACTGCTCTCCAAACGTGGGGACCAGTTCCTGGTGGCCCTTGGGAGCCAAAAAATAGGTAAAGTGCAAGTGTCTACCAAAAGATGTCTTTCTTTTAGCCGTTAAGGAGAAATTTGATTTGGAATTTAATTTTCTGAGCGCAGAAATTTTTGTACATACTTGATGTAGTTTAACAAAACAATGTAATTAATGGGGATGAAATGCTATTTAGCATAATAACATGTGGAGTTCAACTACATAACAGGCCACTAATACCTCGTGCTATTTAACCGTTGCCCCTGCCATCTTTGATATCACTCCGCCGTCTGTCTTCCTCACTGCAGTGAAACCAGATGGGACTAAGACCACTCAGAAAATCTGCATGGACATCCCCAAAGTCGATGCTGTATTTGTGGGGACAGGAGACCTTTTTGCCGCCATGTTGCTTGCCTGGACTCACCATCACCCCAAGGACCTGAAGGTCTGCGACACATTTTTCCAACAGCTAAAGGAATCACATCAATCTTGTCACACTGCGTAATGAATAAATGCCGCCTCAATGTAAATAAGACTCTCTTCTGTTTTTCAAAGGCTGCCTGTGAAAAGACTGTGTCGGTGATGCACCATGTCATTAAGAGGACCATTACTTACGCCAATGGTAGATCACTCTCTCTCTTCTTGGTTATGATTGTTGTTATTATTGTTTACCAGACATGAAGAAACAGAGTTTGCTTCCCTTTGCTGTAAATACGTTTTAAGTCAAACATTAGTAATGTCTGCCACTATTGTGATTCACGATGTGGTCTCTAGTATTATTTAAAAGACATGACGTTCACATGCAGATTATAATAATGGAAATTGTTTGTCATCTCACAGATTCATTTTTTTTCCTTTAGTAAGAGTATCTAGTACAAGTAAATAACATTTAGAGGAAGGCAAAAGAGTAATGTTATAACTGTCTTATATAACTCTTTACAGTATTTATTGAGACCATTTGACTGAAAGGGTTGATCCCAGGGTTTTTACAGGTTATTAAAAACAAATTTTTATTTAATTCTAGGCCTTGGATATTATCTGACAGAACATACTATACAAATGCATGTTGGCAGGTCTTAATTATTTTATCTCCCATTTAAAATGACTTCCATCGCAATTTAAAATCAGTTGTTTTATTTTTTGGAGGCACTCATAGTATGTCATTTCTCTATGTGTTGTAATTCTTTATCAATTATACAGATATTTCCACCCTGTAATAAAACTACAAACAAGACCAACGTGGAACAGATAATGTATTGTCTATAAACCTTTATCTCAGAACGCTTAGCTTGGCTGTGGGAAAGACTTTGGATATTTGCTTTGTCTGTCTGCAGTTTGTGAGATAGCTTGGCGTTTTGAGGGTTGTTCTGTACTAAGCCACTTCACCTTATCTTCAAATATGAGGAAGTATAAATATTCATCGTCATGGTCTTAAGGTGTCTCAACTTGTTGAAACCGGCACAAGTAAGTCCGTCCAAAACCTTGGGGTTTAACTTGTCTTTTTTCTTTCAGAAATGGCTGGTCCTGGGAAAAGGCCCAGTCCTGCACAACTGGAGCTGAGGATGATTCAGAGCAAAGCTGACATAGAGAATCCTGCCATCGTAGTGGAAGCAAAGGTTTTAGAAAAGTCTTCACAATGAAGGCAGTAGCATTGTGTGTGTGTGTGTGTGTGTGTGTGTGAACATTCGCATTGTGCTGGTACCAATCAGTTTAGAATCTGGGAGCTCTGCCTGACACATTTTTCTCACACAGAATTTCCACATCAAAGACTCACATGTCTCTGCCTTACTCTCTGAGGAAGTACAACTATGTTTTGGGGTCAGTAGGATTGATTTATTGTATGCACATAATGGAATCACTGCCACTGTGTCTGTACTACGGCCTTCTGTAGATGGTACCTACTATGATCAAGATTATTTTGTGCGATAAAACCTTAAATTTTGTTTAAGTTGAAGAGAAAATACAAAAAGTCCACTTATTTTGGCTAGGATAGTCAGTCCTCATCCCATGTGATGCTCACAAGGCATTATAAGCACAGCCTTCTACAGTACGCTCTCTATCTATAATACATTTTCAAAATTATGTGATTGGTCAGAAGTAACACATAATGCAAAAGCAAATGGTCTCTGTTTCCTATTTGGGAAAGAAAAAATGATAATTATACCAACCATTCTAATCATAACAATGATGTCAATGTCATTTTACTACTTTGTGACTTTTCTGAAATCGTGATAAAGATATGAATGCATGCAGTGTGCTTATATTGCACTTTAAGTCCTTCTACATTAAAGACTGGATGCATTTTACACCAATCCGCCAATATGAATTAACAGTTACTTGATTTAAAACTTATTGTGAGGTTTCATTTCTTTTCCATGGTTACCTTTTTAAATACAGTGTCTGTAAATGCCGAGACATGTAATGTAACTTCCATCTTATGCAATGAGTATATGGTCTTAAATGTTTAATCTTCACAGCTTATTTGACTTTGTTTTAGAGAAATCATTACTTTACTGATAATCATAATTTTATTTGTCTTAACAGTTTTTCACCTCCTTTTTATAATTATGCAATGCTTTCTTTAACTAGCAGAAGTGTAACATGCTAAATTCCTGTCTTAAGCATCTCAAATTGAGGTATTTGCACAGATAATCTGATAGTATACTTACTAATTATTTTCATGTTTGACTGTTTGTCATATCTCAAGAAAAGAGTTGGTTATGTGAGACCACGCTGTATATCAGCCTTAACAGGGTTGGGAAGATAAAAAACATTTGTTGTGAATGTTTTTTGTGTACCAATGTAATATATGATCCCCAACAACACATAATGTAAGAAAGTCAAGTGACAAACCTTGAGCTGCTGCTCTGAATCAAATGAATATAAGAACAAGAATAATAAATGATTAATCTTTTACTGAAACTGTGTTTTGATATCCATCAATTATCGATGCCACTTATCCTTTGAGGGGTGGGGAGCTGGAGCTAATCCAAGCACGTACTGATGCTTTAAGTGTAAAAGATGCAGAAATATAATCCTCAAATCAAGTTCACTTTGAATAGTGCTAACAATGATGGGTGGTGGGGCTGAGGGCATTGTTTTGGAATTAAAAATAATCTAAATGTGTGATTGGATTGACGATAAATGCTCTGACTTAAAACATACTGAAAGAATTACAATGGTACAAAAAATTGTTTATTTTATTGCTACTCTGGTTTCTTTCTTTTTGTTCTTTTTCTAAATGATAGTGTCTCGTAAACCTATTTAAGGCTTGATTCATAATGCCAACCAATCAACCCATCTATCAATCACAAGTATAGAGAATTCAGAACTTTGAAATAAAAGCACAAGAAATTAAGAATAAAGACTAAGTCAGTGTGTGTGTTAGCTGTGCTGCCAGGTACTTACAGACAGGTGACACAGCTCTGTGTAGTCAACACTAATCCACAGTATGAACAGCCAGCATTAACCCAAATAGCCAGACGGGCCAAACATGTCTGCCCATCTGCATTCTGAACACACAGAACAAAGTTAATGTGTGTGCATCTTTTTTGTTTCCAGTATCCACAATGTAATGTGAACGGTTTAGCTGTGAAATAAAAGGGGTGGTTTTGCTATAGTGCCTGGTTGGTGTCTTATGCTGATAATTCCAAATGCCATATGCTATCAGCTGACACACCAGACTGGTCTCACAAGAGGCCCCAGAGGGTTCTTACTGAACAACAGGATTCTGTTCTCACAGCTGTAGTCTCCAAGACAACGTCAGCTGCAACTGTGCCTATACACCAGCAGAGGGCTAAAGAGGGCCAAAGTTAAATCAAGCAAACGTGCAGCTACTATACTTTAAATGACAGTGGCGTGCAAGGTTATTGAGATTCAGGAGAAAGGAATTTGGTTAGAACTTTTTACATGCAAAGTTAAGACAAATAAACACTATGTGTTGACTGTAAAACAACAAGTGAAATTAGAGACTGTGTTGGAATGTTTTTTATTCACACTGCTGACGCTTGATAAGATAAGATAATCCTTTATAAGTCCCTCAATGGGGAAATGTGCAATATACCAGCAGCAAGAATCAAATATAATAAGCAAAAATAAGTAACATGCAATACTTATAGGTATTATAAGTGTCTAGAATTTTGTGATATCTAGTGTTGAAATTGCATGTTGCAGCTGAACACCCCTCACCTCACCTCCCCTTCCAAAAGTGAAAAAGAACCTGTGGCAGCCTTTAGTTGTCATAAAAACTCAAAAGGTGTTTAGTTTGTCCAGTCTGGACTAATGTAAAAAACATGGTGGCCTCTGTAGAGAGGGTCCCCTCGATGTAAATATAATGTATTTAAATATAAACGGCCTTTTCTGGGGTAAAGAAAACTACAATTCATACAATTTAGATGAAATTAATTAGTGAAAACATCATGAGAAACATCATTATTCTATATAAAATTTCTGCCAATTCCCTTTCACCTAAATCTTACACACTGGACCTTTAAGTGTTAGGTAATATAAACAAAATATAAATACATTAAAAACAAATATATACAGAGTAAAAACAAACTACCAGAGTTTATAAGTGACAGTTGCTTTTAAATGATGCTGTGTGCTGTCTTTAATTTCAGATGACATTATATTACCTTGCTTCTTGCCTTTGATATTTATTTGTATTATTTATTTCCATAGATTTTTATACATATTATATATTTGCATTCATTATATAAAGCACTTTGTAACATCTTATTTGAAACATGCAATATAAATAATAATAACAATAAAGAGGAGGTGGAAAATTAATAAGAAAATCAGTGAATATCAGTGTATAAAACTCCAAACTCTTACTGAGGATGATATGCAGTTTATTTCAGTACATGTTTGACACTGTGGATACAAAGAGAAACTTTGCATTACATGAATAAAAGTTGAATATGAAATAATTCTCTATAAATACCACAACATGTGATCTGATGTAGAATAACACGAGTAATTAGGATTATATATTTTCACCAGTACCTATACTTGTAGTTGTTGGATCATAGATAAATAAAATGACAGATTGTTTTATTTGTGTGAGACTAAATGAGGGGCCGGACCGGATGTGGAGCACGCTACCTTCAGATGGGCATTGAGGAAATGTGGGGCTTTAACCGACAAACAATAGCTGTCTCGCAAATCGCATTACCTCAAGTCGTTTTTATTGCGTTTCAGGAAACGGACGAAGTAAGAAGAGCTCGTTAGCAGAGTCACTTTATTCCGGCGAAGACCAGAAAGCTGCGGAATCACAACCAGAACAAACAGAAACCCACCGACTCCCAACTGAATACGTTTCAGGTGAGCACACCGTTACTGACACTGACCGCTAACGTTAGCTGGCTAACTAGCTTAGCATGACGTTAGCAAGCGGCTCAGGTCGGTTAAGTGTTTACTATGTGTGTATATGAGTGGAACGTGTTTGTCGTTAGCTAATAAACACACCGGCTAACCGGCTGCATCATCCTCCTTCAATATAAATGTTACTCTAACCGCAGCGGGTTAGCTAAGTTAGCATGCTGCCCTGCACCGTTAGCAGGTGGCCCCGTCCTTCCAGACCTGCTCGGTGGAGTTGCCCAGTAACACCGGGTTTAGGCTGGTGTCAGTGAGCGGTCACTTGTTTACCGTCGTTGGCAGCAGTAGTTCGAGAGGCTGGGTCATTTTATTTTCTCAGGTTTAGGATGTAAAGCGGTGTTTGCTGGTAACTTTGAGTTCAGCACGCTGCTAGCTTATTATGACATGTGTCAAGAGATAGCGCAGTCACTGGACGTGCTGGGGCTGCGTGGTTATGGAGCCACGCCGCACTGATGTGTGTTGTCCAAGGAGTATTTTACATTCAGAGCTGAAACAGTAAACGTGATCATGTACTGTAGCACCTCACAGGGTGCTGTGCCGGAGTTGATGCTGAAGATTCACTGGGTTCATTTTAAAAACTGCTTTTACGCTGCGAGACGCCCGTGCGTCATGTGCGCCAGCTGGCTCCGTGTTGACCTGCGTCGTACCACTCACACACACTCGCCTGACGTAAGGTTACTGGAGTTCATTCAAGTCTGGGGCTCAGAGCCAGCACTAACATTAGGCTTGAAACTCAGTTTAACCCAGAGAGGCGAGGAGAGCAAGACACAGGCAAGTAAAATACTCTGATCATTTCTGTGAAGTGTTTCTGATGATCTGTTTTTTAATCTTTGATCATTGTAATACTGAGACCGGTGGTGCTTTAGGAAAGAGGCAGCAGTGATCTTACAAACCAGAATTGATCATTGAAGAGGAATCTGTAGAATGCCTCAGTGATTTGCACACAAGTATTGTAGAGCCACATGTTAAATGTGTGGACCGCTGTATGTTTATGTATGTTTATTTGTTCATCCATTAGCCAGTTGTCCTTAATTTTTTTCTTTTTTTATTCGACTAATTGACTATTTTTTACTGTAAATGCAAACACAGTGTCTGCTGCAGTTTCCCCTTAGGAATAAGCCATGTCAGTATTATTTTATTGTAGTTTGTGCAGGAGGGTTACAACTACATTGGTCTCACAAACTGCACAGTAACAATGCAAACAAATAATTTCTCAGTAAGACATGCACGTGTTGCATTGGTGGCCAAATTCCTTGCTGAAAGTTTTTTACAGGGGTAATTTTTTCTTGGCTGAACATGATTAAGCCCTATGAGGCAAATTGTGATTTGTGAATATGGGCTATACCATTAAAAATTGGTACAAAGTATTTTCCTCATATCTTCTCAGGTGGTATATCTGAGGCATACATTTCATACAAATACAGTTTTGGTGTAAAGTCCAGTGACGTGTCTGTTTACACATGTTGAACTATTGAACTCCCTTTATCTGTCAATCAAACCAAATTATGGCCCTCTAGGACTTTGAGACATATAGAGATAAGCTTATATCTGAGCAGTTCCATCTTTCACTCGAATCCCTCACCAAACCACATGTAAACCACCAGACTGCTAATTTTCTACGCTGAACCTAGTGCGACAGGTACCAGACTAGTTGTACATTTGGCTAAGTTAGCAGTTCAGTGTGGTAGCTGTCATACACAGGTGAGTTAAGAGGTCGTGCCTGATGCTCAAGGTCCCTCAACTTATTCCTGCTTGTTCTATCAGGGCAAGTCTGCAACTCAATTTCATAATCTTTGGATAGTGGGATAGATGTTGCTTAGTGTGTTTGAGTTCCCCTTGGCTAAAAATATGATGTTAGTCAGATCAGTGCATTGCTGGATTTGGTCTTTTCATGTTGTATTAATAATGATAAAAATACCAAACAGAGACATGATTATAATTTATCGTGCATATTGGTTGTATTATTGCAATTATGTTGACATCACAGTGAGACAATCAGTTCATCTTTTTATTATCTTTCTATCTTATCTGCCAAATCTCTTCTGGTGTTGCATCATATGTCATACTATTTGCTTCCTGACCTATGTAGGCCAGTTCATGGCACTGGGTGATATGTCAAGCTTTAAAAAAAAAAAGAAAGAAAATCGGATCTATCAATAATTATCACGATATAGGTCACATTATTATTTCTTGTAATGTTTTGAAGAAGAAATGTTTGCTCCTGAGTGAAAGTTGCAGTTTAAAACTCTTCTTTATGAGCAGAGAATGACAAACATTTGATAAATGGTAAAACATTTTACCAATCTTAGGTAGGTCAATCATGTTTTTTACCTCCTCACTGTGCTTACATAATGCAGAAACATTATACAAATATATATTGGACTTTTGTTATATTGATGTTGATGAAAATGATATTATGATAGACAAAGTATTGACATTGTTTTTATTGCCCATCTTGTTCATCATAAAATGAATTGAATTCAGTATTGTTTTACTTGCTAAGTGTAACAGAGTAATTTAGGGCTGTAGTGGTACTAAGTGGTGTGGCTTTTAAGTGTCTCTCATTGTCTAACATACAACCGTATAAGTATAGTTGTTGTTATTGAGAGTTGGTTCAGTACAGTGGTCTAATGTGCTGGAATATGCTTTCTGCTTTGAAACATGAATGACCTTCATTGTCCAGCTATCACAATGTATTTTTATCTCTTTGCATATTTGGCTTTAACGTCCACTGGCAAGCCCTTAGGTCTGTACTCTAACCTTTAACCTATTTGCTGCAGTAAGTGCTTGACAGTTTATTTCTGCATCCCTCTGCATCCTTGTGTGAGCCTCATTTAACATTATCTCTTTGCAAGAATCCAAAGACTTTTGTCTACTTGCCCACCAGCTCCATTTGTCATCTGTGTGACCGAGTAATGTAGATCTGTCGTGAATAATATTCAGTACCTAAGGTTCCTGCAGTGGGAGTGAGAATAGTGGATCTCTAATTTCCAGGCATTGGGTTAATTCATCCCTTATTATACTCGGTCAAAGAGAAAAAAAAAGAACAGCTTGGAAGTGTCTGTTTCAAGGAAACTACTGACTGTCTGTCTGAGGTCATCCTGCCTGTCTATTGCTTTGTGTAACCAACTCTTCATATTTATCCAACAGATCCTTTAGTGTCTCCATTAGTAAGACATCCTCCTCCTCAGCTCCTATCTCCTGTGGTGTCTCCCAAGGTTCCATACTTGGTTCAATCCTCTTTTCCATCTACCTGCTTCCACTAGGCCACATTAACTTATTTTAATTGGATCACAGGATCTTACTGGTAACATTTCTCCTCATCTTGGTCATTTGGCAACTTGGGTTAGATGAAAACACATTTTTATTCTTTAGCCTTTCAATTTGCATAACATGGTTGTGTAGTGTTATGATTTTAGTTGTTATTGTTATCACTGCTTTTCTGTTATCACTTATTTTAAATGCACTTTGGATCAACAATGTTGTGTTTAAAGTTATATATAAATAATGTTGAAGTTAGCCAATGGCAAGTTGAGGAATAAAATTCCCCATTATGATTGGGCCCTTGAGCAAAATCATACCATTAGCGTAACAGATGCCAATCTGCTAACTCTACCTTGTTCAGCAGAGCCCAGCCTTCTTATTGGTTAATGAAATGTGACACATCCAGGGTGCCCATGGCCTGCTAATCAGCTCTAATCTGATCCATTGGATTAGAGGATGGGAATGCATGTAAGACACCGCTTATGTGCGAGACACTGCTCCCTCCTTTGAGAAGTGAGCCATCTTTCAGTCTATCTGGCGTTCGTTAGTCCTCAGAAGAACCCCCTGTGACATACAGGAGTTTTTGGCATTTTCTTTTTTGCACTTGCTCAATGTAGAGCCACGGTTGTTGGTCATTTTCTGGGTGATTGGAAATATTTTGGTCATCAGTTAACGGCCCAGCAAGATCTGGGATCTGGCTGTGTTCTTGCTGTCATCATCATAATCTCTCTTTCCTTCTGTGGGATTATCATGGCTATGAGGCAGGACAGCCTGTGACTATCCGCTGCTCTCTGCAGGCCCCTCTTTATGTTTTTATTCTGGCTTTGATTTGGGAGGATACCAGTAGCCAAAATGCTGAACCAGAGTGCTGTGATGATCTTCACTGGGATCTGTGGGGCGTTGGTGCTCATGGCAATGGCCTACTATGTCTACTGGTAAGTTAAATACAAAAGAGATGGTTCAGCTTGTGATCACAGCAGGTGAGATTAATTAGAACTTGTAAAAGAGATACAAGTCAGGAAATTACTCCAGGGCATAACTCAGCCCTTCACTGTGCCGAGCAGAATTTGCAAATCAAATCCAATTTGTATAATTAAAACAACAAGGCCAAGATGCGGCTGAACCTTTTCAATATTAAGCTGGCGTCTAGTAATGTAGATTTTTTCTCATATGAGAGAGTCCTCGCAACCCATGTTTATTTGTTGGCACAGAAGCTGTGTTCAGCTGGGTTCAGGTTAAGGAAAGTAGAGGCAGCTGTCCTTCCTTAAGCAGCTTTTACCCCGGCAGCGTCTCTAATCTTTCCTTCAGGCTGTGTAGGGACACAGGTGGACCTCCACAGACTCTTTTGACTGTCCAACTCAATGTTTGTTACACTATTACAAACCAAGTTTATGTTTTTTCTGGACTCCTTGTATTTTAATGAAAGACATATGTGGTCTTTACAAGAGAACATCTCTGGTTTGGTTAAACCACACTGCAGTAACTGTTGATTTGATTGGTTGGTGAGATGGTGTGATGATGTCATGGTGTTTTAAGCCCTGTATTGGTTATTATTGGGACCTTAGTGTTAACATTTTATTAAAAAAAAATTTTTTTCTGCAGACTCTTAACACTGAACTACTAACCCACATAGCTGAAATAGACCACTGATCCAATAAGTTATATTTGTGCTGAGCTTTTGTGTCTGTCTGAAGTAGAGAGACAGATTCACCTTGGTTATTTGGTTGTTTAATTTAATTAATGTTGTCAAGCAATAATATGTATACTGTAGAAAAAAGATGAAAAAGAATGAACATTAAAATATTTTAGAGGACATTTTGCATCTGTGCAGTTTTCAACTATCCCGCTAAGCACTTGTTGATTACAACTATCTCTAAACTTGACATGTCTTTATCAGTTATTCATTATTTTATGTATATATTATATATCATTTTATCTTCAAAAATTGAGTATTCTAAACCTATGACTTGAGGGGTAAAGCTTCATATAAAAGGAAATCAAAGATTAATGTTAGAATTGCAAAATGTAAGCAGATCACTATAGAAATCTCATCTCTTTCGATCACACTGATCAACTGGCAGGTTTTATTTAATTTGAAGTAAATTGGTGTAGATACTAACAAGAATCTACTCAGGAAGAGCAAGAAAAAAAATATATACGAGTGTGGACTTCTCTAGACCTTGGTTGACCACTTATTGAAAATTCTTAAAGCAAATATATTGTGAGTCTATGAATTAAATGTCTGGTTATTCCAATTTGAATTACTTTATAAATGGACAAAGATGGGAGCAAAGAGTGTGGAGGGAAATGATAAAGTTTACAGCATGTTTATCTGAGCTGTCGCACACAAGTTTGTTTTGATAGAGATGCCACTGTATTTCCGTTAACAAGACCCTTGGTATGCTGCCTTTGCTAGCACTTAACAAAACAAGCTGGAATATAGCTGCCCCAATGTGTGATTGCTAGATAATAGTGTGTTATCTAGTGCATCATTTTACACAGACATTGTCCTTCCTTTGTGGTAACCTAGCTGCCCCGGACCCAAATCCATGTTTGTACCTCTTATGGAGCAAGGCAGAATAAAGGTCAACATTTCCATCATGAACTGGCTGTGAGTAAAATAGGCCACAGAAGTGCTTGTTGTCGCAGGAAATGTTGGTTATGGAACTTCTCTATTATGCTTCACTATTGCTAGAAGTTAAATGTGACACAGTCTAACTCTTCCCCACCTTGACACTCACTCGTCCCACTAAGAACAAAGGTCAAATCTCTAACAGAAACAGAAACATCAGCATGTGTAACAGAATTTCAACACATCTTTTCCAAACATTCGAAACATTTCTGTTTGTTGGCTCAAGAAAACCAACTGACATTCTGTGGTATAATTTGTTAGGATAAGCACCTTCTTCAACTGTTAGATTTTACAATCATCTATGTAATTATTTGTGGAGGATGGCAACTGGATATCTGCTCTTGTACTAGACATATTAGAGGATTGTGTGTTTTTATAGTTGAACTTGTGAAAGAACAACTGTGTAATATAATATATGAAGAAACCAGACAGTTGTCATTAACGCAACCACCCTGTGAACAATACAGTGTCTGTAGTGGAAGACTGACATGAGTGCCGCACAGGGACACAATGTTTCTGTCTCTCCCTTGTTGTCCAGATTGCAGCCTGCTGTAAAAAAGCAAACACCAGAAGGCCTCTTTTTTATACTGATTTGCTGACACAGTTATAGCAGTGAATGCAGGTGACTCTCCATATGTTGTTGATGCTAGTACTGCACAGTTAATCTGGAGGAAGAATGTCGAGCATCCACATTTAATTCAGTCATTGAGTCCTTTATTAATGCACTGCTATTAAATCTGGAGTGTGGAACTTTTACATATAAATGAACATCTGCTTCATTTCCACATCTTTTCTGGGTGTTTTTTTTCTTGCGCTACCAAATGGGGGAGACAAAAGTTCCCCAGTGCGGGTTTAAATTTATGTTTTGGTGAATCGAATCAAGTGCTTCTTGTCCACAGATGAAATGTCTCTTAAAAAAGCAGGTTGCCATAAACCACAGGTCTCCACACAAATCTGGAGAAACAAGAAACAACATATATGGAAGATTGGAAACCTTTTTCAGTTGTCTCTTTAAACAAAAATATTTTTACATTTCAGTTGCTACTCTTATGATAGTATCTAAACAAGCAGAGCCGCTTTGTGTGTCATTTAATGTGAGATGTTCTTGAGAAAAGTGAGCACCTGGTCTTTTTGACAGCACATTAACTGTCTGTTAAAACTGTATTAACATTAACATCTGGGGCAGGGGCCATCTTTTTACCCATACTATCTCTGTTTATCTATCATCCGCCTATCCCAGCCTGCTTTGCTCAAACATCTTAAACTGGTCCCTAGTCTGATGAATGCAGTCACATCCTTACAAAGGGACCATTAAATATTTCCAGATGATCTGTTAGATGAACCTGCAGCTCCAATAATAAAACTCCCACAGGCCCAGACTGTAAAACTCCTCACTGGTACCATTATAATCACTGGCAGCATGTGGTGCAGTGCCCTGCATCTTAGACTGCAAAGATTCACTACATTTTCATGCTCAATTAATCAGATAATAACATTTGAGATGTTGTAATGAACAAATGCACTCACAGAAGCTGAACTATGCAGAAATTGTGTTTACTCTGCATCTTGTCAAATACCTTTTATAACCTAGAAAAATGCAATTTGCTCTAACAAATCTCCAACAGTGCTAACATAATGTTTTTTAGACACCTCTTTAGACACTACAATATGCATTCTCCAGGATTAGAAATACTGTCACAGTGTTTACCTTTTGGTTCATGTTGACTTTCCACCCGCACTGAGAAGGATGGAGGATATTTCTGTTCTGCTGGGTCATTATCTAACAAAGTTGAAACGGTCTGATCAAACAAGCACAGCATACATTATTAAATTCACTGTAATGACACTGAACTGTTGCCTTGTTTTATGTCCCTTTGGCTCCTGATATCTCAACCTATTTTCTGCTCTCTATCACAGGACAGTAATATTGGCCGACGGACCGTGTAAACGCGGCTTGTAAAAGGATCCCACCGTGGTAAGAGACACTGAGATGTATTTTAATTTCTGATAACTTTTTTGTCTGCAGAATAACATGTCTACCCTATTTAATTGTTTCCAGTATTGTATTCCCATTATTTTTTTCCTCGTGCTGTTTCACGCTCTGTCCACCCTGATGTTGTCCTTGTTTCTGTGCTCTCTCTCAGGTCGGTCATAGTGTATACAGAGGAGCCTATTCCGCCCTCCAGGCTCCTCAGCAATGGCTCTTCTAGCCTACCTGAAGAGCCTGTTTATCCTGCAGTTGCTGATGGGCTTTGTGTTTGTGGTGAGTGGCCTCATCATAAACTTCATCCAGCTCTGCACCTGCATCCTCTGGCCCTTCAACAAACAGCTCTACCGCAGAATCAACTGCCGACTCTCCTACTCCCTCTGGAGTCGTAAGTAGATGTAACCTATTCTGATGTAAAATAGTTATTTTAAATGCAAATACTGAGTTTTATAATTTGGATAACATAAAGAAAGAAGGGCACCATGCAGTCTATTCACACTTGACATGGCCACCTGTCAAATGCACTCAATAAATATTAGTCCTCTTATTCTCCTCCACAATGTCACCAGGCTCCAACTGACTTAATCTGTCTGCCTTTTTGATACTGGCCAGACAATGTACTGTGGGTTTATCAGAGCTTTTTTTTTTTGCCACAAATGGCTCCCTGAATGGGTTAATAAAAGCAGCCTAGGCTCAGCTACACATTTCACTAGCACCAAAACAATGATCTAAAAAAAAGCTGTAACACTAATTCAGCTTGCTGATAATTATCTGAGGACATTTAGATATAAATCACTGTTATTATTCAACTAAACTGGCAATGACATATACTATAAGAACACTTTGGTTCAGGCACTTCAGTGTAGTTCTTATTTTCGATTTTACTGAGTTGCCAAGTGGTTTTTTTTTTTACCTGCTGCATGCACATGAAGTGTTGTGCTTTGTGTAGAGCTGGTGATGCTGCTGGAGTGGTGGTCGGGCACAGATTGCACCCTATACACAGACCAGGCTACGGTGGACAAGTTTGGCAAAGAACATGCCATCATCATCCTCAACCACAACTTTGAAATCGATTTCCTCTGTGGCTGGACCATGTGTGAAAGATATGGCATCTTAGGGGTTAGTATAAGAACATAGTATGACTCAGAATTTCAAACACACAACTTTGCATAACATGTTTGCCATATGCTGCTATGGATTAATGACTTCAATCCATTTTGTGAGAAATTCATGCTTTCTTAATAAAAACATACACCTGTCCTCTGTCTCTAGAGTTCAAAAGTGCTGGCCAAACATGAGCTGTTGAAGGTTCCTCTGATTGGCTGGACCTGGTACTTCCTAGAAATAGTCTTCTGCAAAAGAAAGTGGGAGGAGGACAGAAATACTGTCTTCAAGGGACTGAGCAGACTCAAAGATTATCCTGAATATATGTGGGTAAGTATCTGTCTTCTGACGTGGGTATGAGTTCTAACAGTACTTAAGATTTCTTTTCTTTGTTTTCTCTTTTCTTTTCAAGCCCCTACGCAACCGTTTGCATGAATACCATGTCAGTGAACTCTAGCTCAGTTGCTCAATAAAGTTTCTGAAATATCCTCTGGGCATAGACTTCTTTGAAAAAATGGAAATGTAGCTGCCTGAGCACATCATATCAGTGAAGTGAAGTTTCCACTTACAAATCTAATAGCACTATGTGGATAAAGTGGGGACTGAAAATAAGTCATATTTATTTACATAGCATATTAAAAACAGGAGTTGAGCCGAAGTACTTTACAGTCATGGCAAAGTGTCACTGTAAACAAAGATGTGGTTAAAAATAATTCCTAAAGGACAAGAAATGAGCAGACACGTTTATTTTTAAGTAAAATCAAATGTGAGTGCACCCATAAATAAATAATAATTGAGTTATAAAGTCAGCCTGAGGTCAACTAGAAAGTCGGCTTGTATGAAATTTACTAAGAGCAGGTTTGGTAATATCATTACCTTTTTTATTCCTCTGCACAGGGGACAGCAATTGACCAGAGCCATTATGTTTTTGGGTTGTTCGTCCTTATGTCCACCCACCTTAATCTTTGAACGTCTCGAGGGAATTTCTTCGAGTTCAGTTGGACTCATGAATCACCTGATTAGATTCTGTGGTCAAAGGTCACGGTGAACTAATTTACCTGTGAACATGCTGTATCACCAACACCTATAGGGAATTTAATTAAATCTGGCACAAACATTCACTTTGACACAAGGATGAACTGACTCAGAATTTGGAGGTCAAAGGTCATGATGACCTCACAAAACCCTTTTTTTCCCCCTCATAAACATGTTCTCTTTAGAACGCCTAGAGAGAATCCTCTCCAGTTTGGCACAAATGCTCACATAGACTCAAAGATTGTGCTCAAACATCAAGGTCACAGTAACCTCACAAAAAGGGTTTTTGGCCTCTTGAACATAATATCTCAAGTCAGCCTGTAGGACATCTCTTCACATTTTGACCAGATGTCACTTGGACTCTAAATTGCACTAATGAGATTCCAGTGGTCAAGGGTTATTGTAAACTAATTTTAATCCGTGGAGGCATACAACCTCAGGGTGGTAATTTGAGGTTATCTATAAACAAGTTTGACTAATCTTACTAACTGCTATTGTTCCCCAAATCTCAGCTCTTCCATTAGGGAATACAATGTTATTAATACCAATAGAAACAAAAAGCTAAACGTCCACAAATAAGATCAGATATGTGATAAACTGTCAGTGGTTGCATTTTGACAGAGAAGATACTATATTCTTCCCTTTCTAAATGCTAGGATATTCAGTCACTGTCCTTTGACCCAGTTTTCTATACATTCATTGATCTTGGCAATGCACAGATATCCTGTTCTGTGTGTGTGCACCAGCTGTGTTTGTAATGCATGGACTGTAGGGAGTGGGTTTATTATTTGTTTCTGTTAAACTTCATGAACTGGACTTTCCACAGAGCTCACAGGATGAAGCTTTCATCCTGCTTGATGATTCAAAGCAGTTTTACATCCAAACCTGGTGACAATAGAACTCACTGTTTGTTGTATGTCATTGCTGAAGGTGTGAAGAAACTTGTGTTACAGATATTCAGAATCACTCCTCCAGCTCGCCAGCTGAGATTAGGCTGATCAGCAGTTGATCTAATTACCTCTTAAATTGAGCATCGGGCCACTGCTAATGGCATCGTTTTTTTTGTGGTCAGATAAACAAAGTCAACATCCTTTGGTTAAGCTGTCGTTCCCATACCTGTATTAATACATTTTTTTGCGTTGATTTGGCCAAATGAGAAACTTATGGGAAGAAAAATGTCATGTCTCTCCAGTCCTAACCAAGGGAGAAATCCGGCTAACCAAGTTTGAACTTTTTTGGGGGGCGAAATAATATAATATTATTTTAAAGCTCTTTTCCAGTTCCATGTTTATCATAACAGTATGATATCCACAGTATAAAAAATAACATCATTATGAGTGATTATATTAGTTTAAGTTGAATTGCAAAAACCTATGTTTTGAAATTAGTCAAATTTTCACCAAATTGGCATTAAAATGTCATAAAGACCTACAAAAAGACTTTGTGGCTGAGATATCATTATTTATCTGAAATGCCGTCAGATCACTAATTCCTGATAATGTTGTTGAACAACAGTTAGTGCATTGGTATACTACATGTGTCTGACCATACACTGAACCCTATTTGTTGATGAGCTCCCAGGCCACTGGAAAGTGTGTTCAAAGAAACATAACGTGTGAAATCATAACATTTAAGCTAAATGTTAAACCTGCATTGAATGTTGAGGTGGTAATTAGCATTGAAGAAGCAGTGGCAATTCTTCAGAGTCTTGCGAGAGAGGATGACCTGATTGTGATTTTTTTTATTTGTTACATTAAAGCTACATTAAAGCTCCTGTAATTAAACCAGGCAGAAGGATGGTAGTGGATGAGACAAGAGAAAGGAGGTCACCTTAAGTCTGGGTGTGTGTGTTTCTTAACTCATCTCTCCTCACTTCACAGTTTCTTCTGTATTGCGAGGGAACCCGTTTTACAGAGAAGAAACACCAGATCAGTATGCAGATTGCAGAGAGTAAAGGCCTCCCCAAGCTCAAATACCACCTACTACCCCGAACCAAAGGATTTACCACAACACTGCAGTGTCTTAAGGGCACAGGTGCTGTATGGAAATATACACACACACAGTTCATCATGTTTAAAACACGTTTCTGGTTCTTAATGTGATTATATATTTTACAGTAACTGCTGTGTACGATGTGACTCTCAACTTCAAAGATAACCAAACCCCCACTCTCCTGGGCATCGTCAACGGCAAGAAATACAAAGCTGACTTGAGTGTGAGGTGAGTGCAACCTCTGTCCTCCATTTACCTCAGAATGACCAGGTATTTTAACGATGATGCATCACACTGCCAGCTGTACAGAGGAGAAGGTGATGAATGTAGTTTAAACCTTGTGGCCTCCCTCCAATCACACTTTTGTCCTATAACATTGAAACAGACAGTGAGTGTGCTCGGGATGTTGGCAGGTTTCCCAGTGTGTTTATGGTTTCAGAACTGTAACTCTAATGGGCAGAGCACGCCTACTGAGTGAAGAACAGGTCAGGAGATGAAAATAGATAAGGATGGCTCCTGCTGAACAGGCCTGGAATAGCATGGCTTTATTCTGACAGCTGAATGAGAAAAACTATTCGTTTTACTCAATTAGAATGAGGGAGAGAACATTTTTTGTTTTGTGGAAACAAAGATTAAACCAGAGTCAGTTGAACATGGACTTGCAGCAGCAGATCTATGCAGAGAAATAAGGTATTCTTAATAGAGTCCTCTAGTGGTGAGACACTGGCATAACAGAATGATATTTGTCATGTTGGCTGGATTTTTTGTAATTGGGGAAAACGAGCAGTCACTATACGTGTCAGGGACAGGTTGACACAAACTCAGTGAAGCTTATTTTAAATGCATCGAGCTGAAGTTTGGTTTGGACACAAACAACATAATGCCTGTCTGACTCTGGTCGGACTTAGTTACAGAAAGATATGAAAACATTTTCCCCAAACTCTTTCTTATCAAGATTAACATTTACAACTGGAATCATGACCATGGACAAACCTGGGATTGGGAGAAGTTGTGAGGGGGAAAAAACAAGTCTTGTGCCATTAACTCATTTTTACCATCAGTTTTCACTAGAGCCACACTTCACCTTTAGTTCTCCTCGTTCGTACCTACGTCACTGACTCATTTAAATGATCATGATTTAGGTGGTTGCTTGGTGACGGCGCTCTAAACATAAATGACCTCCACCCAGTGTGTTGTCCTTTGTATTTGTTTCGGTTGTTCTTTATGTGCGCATTTCTAACTGTTATTGCTCAAATTGTAAGTGAGGCTGAAACCAAATGTGATTCAGCTCTACAGTGTATAGTTATTTCCTCTTTTCCATCCAGACGGTTCTCTGTGGAGGAAATACCAGATGATGAGAAGGAGTGTGCTAATTGGCTGCACAAGCTCTACCAGGAGAAGGTAAAACTGACATTAAAGACTCAATATAGGATTGAAATCACAAAGAATGCATTCCAGGTTCAAGCCCTTATTGTGCTCAACAGAAGGAAGCAGCCCAATCAAGCCACAGTTAAAGCCACATGCAGCAACAAGGCAAAAAAAAAATCACTACAGGTAGTTGAAATCTGTCCAAATTGAGACCAATCAAAGCTTTGTTCAGTCTTCACAAAGATATCAACATTGTGCATCCAAAGCTCCTCTATTTGTAACACTCTCATTGAATATGTTAAGAGGATAGTAGGACTTCAGGGAGGAAATACAACATTTCTTGGAGATATTTTGAATATATGATAAATCACTTTAGATTTTGGTTGATACCTGCACCAGAGTATGTTCACCAGGTTTGAGGTACATGTTATTGGTGTTTGTGGCTCCACCTATAGGTCAGAGAAAATTTGGTAGCAAGGAGATTTCAAAAACCTGATTTTCAGAAACTTGAAAATGGTGGAAAATCCATCATGACAGATTTTTTTATGGTCCAAGAAGTCTTTTTGTGGCTGGACTTGTTTGACAAAGTCAGATTTAGGGTGTGAGGGTGTGGCCTTTCCAAAACAACACTTTTTGGCCCCTTAATTACAGCGCCACCATCTGACTGTTTGTGTGTCTTAAGAAGTACATGCACATCATTATTGATTTCAGTGGTTACTGTGGTTACTTAATGTGTTTCTTCTCTGGCTCAGGATGCCTTACAGGAACAATACAGCAAGGAAGGCAAGTTCCCCGGACCCACAATAATCCCACCTCGTCGACTATGGACGCTGCTGAACTTCCTGTTTTGGGCCACCCTGCTGCTGTCGCCCCTTATCAATTTTGCTTGTGGAGTGGTTGTCAGCGGTTCCCCCCTCCTCATCATCGGCTTCATCTTCTTCCTCATCATAGGTAACACATATATGATATATCTTCCTCATGGAGCTCTAATCAGGCTCTTTACCTGGAAAAAGAAAAGTTAAATTCAAGGTTTTGAATTTACGTTTTATTTAACATTTAATTTTCTCTCCTCGTTCACTCCACTTTTTTATTTATTTATTTATTTTTTTGTCTTTGCTCTTTCCCCAGCTTCCATAGCTATCCGACGCCTCATCGGGGTCACAGAGGTGAAGAAAACAGGCTCCAGTTATGGCAACCAGGAGGCCAAGAAACAAAACTAAAGTGCGTCACCCCCTTATCCCCAAACACCTCCCATCTCCCCTCCTCCCGTGTACGGCTGTCTCTGTGTGGCCGTCCTGCGGAGTCTCAACCCTACCCAACTCCTTTCTCCTCCTACCGTCGAGTCTGTTGGTAGGTCAGGGAGGAGAAAATGATAAATAGACACCAGAGTTAGAAATTTTAATAGCACTAGATTGAGTGAGTGAGAGAGAGAGCATTGAAGGTCTGGGGGGGTGGGTCAAGCTCTCTGGTGTAACACAAAACAAAATGGAGGGGAAGACACAGCATCATACCCTGCTGCATCTTTCTTAATCCAGCTCGTCCCCAGCCCAGCCACATTAAAGTCCTGTTAACACCCAAGTTCAAACGCCTCACCTGTCACATGGACAGCCAGTCCGCCCATCATCTGCTCTTGCACTACCTACCTCCAAATCCAGTCATGGTCATCAGCCAATCAGGGTGTGGGGTGTGCTTATTGTTTTTGCCCACAGAACACAAATACATCCACATCTGAAACTTGTTTTCATCTCAACCATCTGTGACATGCAGGATGTCTCCCTTGGTTTTTTCACTGAGTGGATGTGGGAACCGGTGCTCTCAGGCCCATCCTGGTCCCCCTAAAGGGTCGATTCGCCGAAATCACAAAATAAATGTACCATTTCAACTTTTACATATCTGGCAATGCAGATAGTTCTGTTTTTTATACAGGCAAAGTCTGAGATTTCCATACTATACTGAAAAATGATTAATCTTTTCAGAACATCTTTTGTCTGACTTTCTTGGATAATAATTGATAGTTTTCATTGGAAACCATGTTTTAAATATAAAGGAAAGTGAAATCATTATCTGATTATCCAATTAGTTGGACAGTTTCTGTGAAGAGACAATTCAGTTGAGTCTTTCAAATATGATTTGATTTAATTTGAGCACTGTTGGTCACATTCAGTTTACCTTTTTTGTATCAGGGCAGGTGCAGAAGTCTCACAGCATGGAACTCAAATTATATAAGTTCCACATCGTCTCCAGGACTGGATATCACAAGAGTGAAGTGGGGAAAATGATATGTTATTTTAATCTTGTGATGTTGGTGAATCAACCCGTTAACTTCCTGGTTTGGAGATGCTTGTCTGTAAAACTACAAGAAGGACTCTGAATGTGAAAACAAACCATCTGTTACAGGGGTCATGTGCAGCCTGCAGCACCATCACCCACACACATTCATTCAGTCCTATTTTCCTTTGATTTACACAGAGAAATCTGCATACTTGTTATCATACCTGGATCAGCTGACCCTGAGATTTTGCTGTTCATTTACCCAGAAATCCTAGTCTGAACACTGAGGCACTTCAACGTACCACTACCCCTCTGATGCCAGTTAAAATGCAGCTCACGCCGCTCTGGTTGAAGTGACCGTTTCGCCGCTGAGTGGCAGTTGATTCCAGAGAAAGGTCACAGACTGTCTCCATGTAGCCTTGCAGCTGTTAGCACATTATTTAGCTTTCCTGATATAGAAGTTATATTTTAACCTTTGCCTTAAATCAAGCTTGCTCAGGCGAGGGATTTGCTTATTTGCCGGCCCTTTAAAACAGCACCCGCCTCTTCCCTCTGTTGTGTTTGAAATACCAACCCTCTCTCCCTGCCATTACCACAGTGCATGGGGGAAGTGCGTTCATTTGGTTCAAAATGAATAATTGAGAACCACTGTTAGTCTTTTAAAGTGGAGAGTGAGGAAGGTGTTGGTTTGTTTGAGTCTGTGTGCAACTTTGTTTCTCTGGATATCAGCACAGCGACACCTGGTCACCTTACATTTCTATACATTTAGAATCGCTCATCCCAGAGTTGGTTGTTTTTACCTCTAACATACAACATGAGCCACATTTCCTGGTCCCAAATTCAAACAATGTTAGCGAAACACGAGAATATTTTGTGTCCTGCTCTCTCCTCCCCTCCGCCCTGCTGTGCCACATGTAGTATCTCACATTTCTCTTTTCAGTTTCAGTTTTTTCCCCCCATCACTCGTCAGCAGCGATATGTTGTGTCCTTTCTGTAGAGCTCTCTCAACCCAGACAGACTTCATGCAAAGCCTTAATAGACAGTGCTGCTTAGTTTTTTTTTGTGTGAAAATGTAGAAGCTAACTGAGCCCCTGTTGTAGTGGAGGATCAACATGTGAAAAATGTCCTCCAGTAGAGCAAGCAAGTTTCTGGGATTAGCTGTCAAGTGACTTGTTCTTAAGTATTAAGAAAAAGAAATAAAGAGAACTGAGAATGGATAACGTAATGTTCGTAATTAAACAACTTCTTTTTTCTTTTTCTTTTTTTACACAAAGATACTTGGAGTTGGTTTTACCTCAAATACTTGTGAAAAGCTTTAGGATCTTAGCCTATTTTTCTTTCTTTTAAGAAAACTTGTTTTTCCTAAAATCATGAACGTGCAGCATCAAATGCAAATGCACTTCAATCCATCCTGTCATTCAAACACTTTCAACAGCAGTTCAAACCAGTAGCTTTGGTTTGGATGGTTTTTATTTTTACAGTGCACTCAGTATTTAGAGTCGTTCACTTTTTTTCATGTGGCAGCTTTATGCTAAAATCATTGAAATATTTCCCCCAGGACAAGGACAATTTTTTTTTTAAATTTTGCTGCAAATTTATTGAAAAAGAGAAACTGAAATATCACTTTGACATAAGTTTGCGGACACTTTAATTTTGGCTCAGCTGTTTCTACGACTTGAATTCACAGGTGGTGAATTCAACTGACTCTTACTGAGGTCATGGAACTTCTCTGGGTGGAGGGAAAGCTAATGCAGTACAGAGATCCCTCATCAAATCCTGAGTGCTCAGGACCTCAGACTGTACCTTAGGTTTATCTTCCATCAGGACAATGACCCCAAACTGAAAGACAAGATAAAAAAAGTGTGACTTAGGGACGATTCTGTTAATCTGCGTGAAACACAGGCAGAGCTCTGATGTAAATATGTCTGGAGAGACCTGAAAATGTCTGTACACTGACAATGACAGTCCCTGTCCAACCTGACAGAGATGGAGAGGTTCTGCTGAGATGAGCAGAAAATCACAAAGTCCAAGTGTGTGTAACCAAGAAGACTTGGTTTTGATCGCTGCCAAAGGTGCAACTGTAGTAACTAAAACTTCTAAACACTTTCTAAATGTGATATTTCAGTTTTCCTTCTTTAATACATTTTTTTTAAACTTCCTATATCTCTGTTTTAACTTTGTCATTGTAGAATGTTGATTGTAGGTTGATCTGAGAGAAAATGATTGAAATGTTTTTTAGCTTAAAGCTGTAACATCATGTGAAAACTTCGAAGGTGTCAAATTGTGACACTTTTCTTGCTTTTTTTTCCTTTTCTGATATTTCTACTCGATTCAAATAATATAATTAGAAATTTACCACATGATTTTTAAATTCAAACATTTCCGTTAGTGGATCCTGTGGCAATTTTTCTGTTTTCTAAGGCGTTTTTTTTTATGTTTTCCTCAATCAAAAACACTTGACATTAAAGGATTTCATCACTAAGCAACACTTACTCTCGACTTCTTTGGATTTGTGTGAGTTTCTCTGTTTGCACTGTAGTTCAAGTGAAAGGAAAATAGGTTTTCCACCCTCCATGTTTTATCTTCTTCATCTGCAGCCATTTTCACAGAGACTCACTGGCATCCTCCTCCTCGTGATCATGACACAGCCATAACCTTCCATTAAGATGCTGTAAATTGACTGATGTGATGCTATGTAGAGACTTAACTGAAAATATGTACATAAGTTAAATGATGAATGTCTCATTCACTTTTAGAACTTGTAGAGTTGTATGTAGCAGTTGTTTTGCAGTAGACCTGAATGACACAAACCAACGAGTGTCGAATCCACTCACAGAAAAGTGACGGGGTGTTGGGAGACAGCATAAACATGTACATAATGTAAATGATGCCGTGACATTCAGTTTTAGAAACGGCCGAGATGCTCTTCTGTTATTTTGCAATAGCGCTTTTGAATGACAGAGCCATGCATTCAGGCTACAACCAAATGTAAACCAGTGATGAAAAGCTACAGAGTGAGAGTCAAACTGAGCTGGTCTCATGGGAGCAGTTTACAAAGTCATCTGCAGAGGTCGTTCTACTCAACGCTGTCTCACCTGTCAGGTCTGGAGCTGTAAATACCTTCAGCGATGCCTCTCTTCTAATTAAAACCAGAAGGCTGTAGTCACAGACAATGCTTATGAAGCATTTTTCACTGACTTTGTAATTAATCATGGTTTCTTACTGTAGTCATTAGTTTTTTGCATGATGTGCATCATTGCACAGTCACTGAATCGAGTTAATTCTGACTCAGGGACTCTTTTGAAGACTGGCAATGCAACAGCTGTGGCATTAACTGAATTTGAATCTGAATAAAAGGCTTTCTGAGAAAGCTCGAAGACTGTGGCTCTTTTGTCAACACATACACATATAGGCTATATACTTAATGTACAAATCTCTTGACTCATGAAAACCTTTTTTTTAAAAACATTCATAATGAAATAAGCAACAAT